ATTTTCTTTGTTTTTGATGTTTTTCAGATGATGTGATGTTGGAAATAGATTAAATATGTGATGTATGAAAATGAATGAGATATGTATGATAACATTTATCTTTTGCAGCTGACTCTTACAGTTGATGATCAATTCATCATCTCTTTTCTTACACTTTTTCTCTATCTGCTAGTCACTACTCTAATGCAATCTCTATATAATACAGTATTCAGTGACTAGGTTCAGCAGCTTTCAACTTTTTATGATTCTGTCTCACATATTATACTATCTCTCTTCACTCACTCAGATTACTACAGTGAACAGCTCATTGAAACTAACCTCATCTGATCTCTGAGCATCTTCAGAGGTCAAGATGACTTAATCTCACACATTCATGAATGTTTCAGATAGTTTATTCTCTGTGATCTCTGTGATTAAACTGATATAAACAGTTGAATTTAACTCTGAATTTCTTTTTCTTCTGTGACCTGATTTATGTATAAGTCTGCTACTTTGAGACTGCTCTTTACTGTGTTACACTCACTATCTGCAGCATATTATTATACAACTGACTACAGTCTCATCACTTATTGAAGTGTAGTATTCATCTGATTTCTTCATTTCTTCTCATTCTTTTCTTATAATTGTGAAAAGATTGAAATAAGTGAGATCATCTGATTCATAAGCATCTATGATTTCTCTTACTTTGTAAGACTTTTCAATTATAAGTCTCTTCTTTTTCAATACTGATGATAGTGCTGTAGATAATTATAATCTGCTCAGATCTTACATCTTTACTTTTATAAGTTATGAATTATTAATTAAGTTGTGTAAGATCTGTTTCTCTGATTCTTTCAATGTGTATATTCTCAGAGAATGTGATTTGAGTATTTTATATGACTCAAATCATCTAGGTTGAAACTTCTCAGAACTCTCATTGTATATGAGAACTCATATTTTCATCTTAAGACTCAATTTCTTAATAAGTGAGTCTCATATTCTTTTTAATTGAATTGCTCAGTTCAGGAGTAACTTGTTAGCTTTTGCATGTATATGGCTGATCTCTTTCAATCTTGATTCTGTGTCTGCAACTGTTGTATCTGCAACTGCTACTGCTGTGTTTATAACTGCTGTTCCTGTTATGTCTGCAACTGCTGTTTCTGCTGTGTTTATAACTGCTCTCTCTCCCACCTTTTCTGAAGCATTCTCTGGAATGCGCGGATGCAATTCATACAACAGGTAGAATGATGAATACTTGATGACTGCATGCTGTTGAATCTGCGTGGCCAGTAGCACCTGTCTGAGATATTCATCTCATAGTCTTGTAGACTTGTTCACTAGATATTTCATCAGTATATTGTCTAAGATTTCATTCAAGCATTTCATCTTTCTGTTCATTCATGAATGATATGACATTGTTCTACAATGTCTTGTCTGTAACTGGCTCATGAAATGCCTCACTGCTTCTTTCATGAGATTCACACTGTTATCAGTTAGAATCTCATGCAGCATTTCATAGTTGACATAGATCTCATCATGTAGAAACTTTATCATCATCTTCTCTATCATCTCTGAAACTGCTTTTACAACTGGTCAGTCAGTAGTGTAATCAATAGCAGTGATTATTCATCAATTTTCATTTAGTGTTCACAGCAATATGTCTATGAGATTCACTCTTCATCATTTGAACAGTTGTATCATACACTTCATCTGATGTTACACTTTCTCACATTCTAACTCTTTCTTAGATTCTTTCACAATCTGGCAATTCAGACACTTATGAGTGTACATCTGAATGTTCTCAGCCATGCTTGGTCAGTATGCTCTTGATTTAAGTATGCTTATGAGTTCAGAGCTTTCTAAGTGACTGAATTCTTTGTGTATGTGAGTTATCAAGTCATATTGAAATGAAGGTTCTAGATAGAGAGCTTCTGCATATTCTAGATTGTGATAAAGCATAATGTTGTTTTTCTTTTTCAATTTCCTTAGCTTAAAGTTCAGAAGCATCTCTTCTACTACTCTTATGAGATGCTTATCATCTGACATCTTGCTATTCTTTAAGTGAGAGATCATGATATTCACTTATTCTGATTCCTTGCATTCTCTCAGCATGTTTAATACAAACATCTCTTGTATCTGATTTGCAGAATTCTCACTCATGAAATCAGATCTGTAACTGATTGTATCAGATATCACTGCATCTGATCTCTTTCAGTATTTGATATGAAGATTGTACACTTGAAACTCTGAGATTCAATGTACTAAGTGTTTAAAAGGTTTTATCATTGATTGTAGATAGATAAGACTTTCATAATCTGTGATCACTGTTGTTGTATACCTGTTGTCAATATATCTATCTCACAATGTCAGCATGTGCTTGATTGCTAGTAATTTCTTTTCATACACTGAGTAATTGAGCTCAGTGTCTGATAGTTTTCTATCATTATATATCACTAAGTGTAGCTTGCTGTTCTTACTCATCTGTAGAAGAATGCCTGTGATAGCTCATTTGAATGTGTCTGTCTCAATGTAGAAAGGTTTATCATGATCTGATTGAATAAGCACTGAGAATGTTATTACACATTTTCTCAGTGTGAGAAAAGCCTCTTCACACACAGTATTTCAGATGATTGAATGAAACTTCTTCTTTCACAGATTTGTATCTATTTCTCTTAAGAGATCTGAGAGTGATGCAGATATTCATGCAAAATCCTTGATAAATCTGTGATAGTATGAGATCAACTTAAGAAACTGTTATATATAGTGTATATTTCTCAGCTGCGGTCAATTCACTATGATATTCAATTTCTTCAGAATAAGGTGTATACAGTCATCACTCACTACATATTCTATGAACTTTAACTCTTCTGTTTCAAACACATACTTGATTGATTTAATATAGAGCTTATACTTTGTCAGAGTTATAAGCACTTCATTGAGATGCTTCAGATGTTTATTGTATGAGTTTGAAAAGACTAGAATATTATCAAGATATATGAGACATGAGATTTCATTCTGTTTATAAAGAATTGTATTCATCATCATTTGAAAGATGACAGGCACATTTATCAGACTGAATAGCATTGCCAGGAATTTGAACTTCTCTTATTGCATATTAAACACAGTTCACAGGACTGACAGTTTGTCTATATGAATCTGTCAGTATTCTGAGAGAAGATTAATCTTTGATAGATATCAGGTATTTCTGACTGTATTCAACTGTTGTTGAATTCATGACAGTGAATATTCATTCTTGATTGTAAGCTTATTAAGTACTTGATAATTGATACACATTCATCACTTCTCATTCACCTTTTTTATGAATAGAACTGGAAAGCCTCATGCACTTGATGAGAGTTATATGAGATTATGTTCTAGAAGGTCTGTGATCTGATACTTCTGTTCTTCAAGATATGTTTGTGACAGAGAGTATGCATTCTGATTGACTGGTTTTGCATTCTCTGTGTCAATCTCATGTATAAATCCTCATTTCAGTGATAATTTCAGTGAAAGATCTGTTTGAAAGATCTTCTCATACTTCTTCAAAAGCTTCTTCATATACTTATTCTTCTGCATATTCTTTATCTTGATTTCCTTCACTTCTGAGTCTCATATGATATACAGAATGCTTTCAGATGAGGTCTTGCAAATCATTCTCTTTGCTTATTAATGTATAAGCAGATTTAACTCTTCTATATCAGAGGTGTGAAATATCCTTCTTATATCAGTTAATAGAATTGTATGAATCATTTTCTTTCTATCAGTCAACTGCATATAATATGTACATCATTGAATCTGCAGATTGAATCTTTAAAATCAATTAAGTCTGAGAATAAGATTGTATTTCACATTCTGCAGCTCTCACACTCAAATATAGCAAGATCATTCTTCAAAGTACAAGGGAACTCTTACTCTTGCAGATGATATCAAATATTAATTATCAGATAATCTTATATGTCAGAGATTCTTCACTCAGTGAACCTCTTTCAATCTTCAGATTACATGATTATCAATATATTGTGTAGAAGCTTCTGTATCTGCTAACACTTTTACAGCCATCTCTTGATTCTTATTCAAGTGCTCTCTATACATTAATATTTCAGGTTTCAAGGCATTGAGATGAGTGTTCACTTTATTATTCTTATTCACATCTCATTCAGAAGCCTGCTTCTTCTTTACATTTGTAGAATTCAGAGAGTCATCTAATACAGGTATCTTTTTCACTTTGAAGACTTTTCATAGAATATCAGTGAGTGTCTCTGAGCTCACTAATTCAGCTAGTTTTTTAACTGTGTATGCTGAGTGCAATCTTTTGTATTATGATTTTGATATCTGCAGTTGAAGTAAGCTCAATACTTGTGATATCAAGATTTTCACTCAGAGGATTTCTTTTTCAGAGGATTTGATGCTTTAGTGATAGTATTCAGATCTAGATTCATTGTATCTAAGTGTGTAACTTGTGTTATAGAAGTCTGATTATCTGTTCTCTACTGAGATATACTCAATTGCAGTATTTTCTGTCACAATTGACTCACTTGTTCCTGTATAATGAGAATATTGTATACTTCTTTCATCATATCTGATTGTAAGATTAAGCATTTTCATTCTGCTCTTAACTCAGGTGTAAGACTATGAATGAAAATCTGTAAACAGAAAGATGTTGAAAGCTCTTCATTCAACATGAGATAGTGTAAGCTAAAGTGTGTGAAGTATGATATAAGATTACTCACTTGTCTACACTCAGTGAAGTGTTTATAATACTTATCTCACACATTCACTTTCTCAAAGTTATGTAAGATTTATTTGAAAAACTCATTTCATATTTGTGAGAATGAATATTGCTTCAGATCTGTGAGATTTATCTTTTCATCAGTTATTTATAATGACTTCACTTTTCTGTATAGAAATATAGCAGATCTTAAGACTTGTTGAAATTTCATTGACTGTCTGTCTGTGAGTTTATATTCAATCTGATAATATAATTGCATCTGACTTAGCCAGCTGATTACAGCATCATTTTTTCAGTCATCATTAAAGCTTGATAACTTCAGCAGATCTTCTGACTTGATATATTTCATGCTTGAATTCTCATTCTGTACAGTGATCTCTGATGATGTGTATACTTCTGAAGAGATTATAAATGATTGTGATGAGATCTTCAGATTCAGTGTAGTCACCTGTCTGTGTAAATGTTTAATCTTCTGCTGCAGGTCTAAGATCTGGTTTTCTCTATTCTTATTAATGATGATGATTGTGTCAGTGAAGCTCTTCATAGTAAATGCTTGATTCACAGTGAATGTCAATTGTTATTTAACTTCTGTCTCAGCCTGTCACTGTGTACACAAGATCTCAATCTTGTTTAGAATCCTTGTACATGTACAGAGCTTCAATTTCAGTTCAGCAGTTTCAGCTGCTTTTCTTACTGCTTTGAGTAAACTCTCTGAAAGATTCTGTATATCTTTCAGTTCAGGTAGCAGAGAAGAGTGTTGTTCATATTAACTAGAGAAGGTATTCATTTCAGTGATTTCTGGTTGATCATACAATGTCTATTATTATATCACTTGTATCATTATATCACTATATTACTGTATCATTATATTACTATATTGCTGTATTGTTATATTGCTATATTATTCTATTGCTATATTGTTATATAATTTCTGTTATCATTGTATGATTTCAGTGATGACTACTCTTCTTCTTTTTATTCTTCTTTTGAGTAGAGAGCAGACTTCTTTGAATCTGATTCACTGCTCTTATTTCCTTTCTCACACCTCATCTGTTCGCATACGTGGCATTCACCTGAGTGTGGAGTTTTCCCCCAACAAGTGAAGCAGCATCAATTGAATGCTCTTTCACTCACTACTCTTTGTATGCTATCTTTTAAGATGTTTCTAGAACCACACTGGCATAATAACTATGAATCACTTCATAGACAGAATTATCACACTCTGGAGGAGCCTGCACTTCTCACCAGTTTTTAGACATGCTATCAGATGTGATTCAAAGATTGCTTAAGCCAGTGTACAATTACAGGCGTACACTGGCTTCTTATATATTGTAATATTGTATGCTAATTTAATTAGCAGCCGCTATGGCCCCTTTACATTCGTACGCGTACGCTAGTAGTTCGGAAGCGGCCGCGTTATTATCCGATGGTCGTACGTTCTTCCGAACCACACTGTAACTGTACACACTCTGATATTCAGCTTCTCTGAAGTCTGTGCATTTCTAGTGATCTTTGTATCAAATGCAATAATTATCTATATCACAGATATAATACTCTCTACTTCTTTGAAGAGAGGAATTGATAGTCACAGAGAAATTGAGTATTATAAATATTAAGAATATGAGTGTGAATTTTCTTTATTTTTTCTTTATTAATCTCTAAATTGTATTCATAGTTCTGTTTTTATTTTCTTTGTTTTTTAGCTTTTAATAAGAATATAATTTCTTCTTCTCTTTGTATACACTGTGAACTGTTCATCTCAGTAGAAACTCATCATCTTATGGACTAGAATTTATAAATAACAGTGTTAATATCTTTGTTGATGACTGTGATATAATAGAGTAGTTGGCTATATTATTAAGATCTGTCGGTTCCCCGTGGTGTTTCGTATTAAGGCGTTTGCCAAGTGATCGGCATACACCTCACTTAGGCGGAAGCAGTCAGTCTGTTAGAGAGGGGAATTCAACACCTCTCTTGATCACTGCTTCACTGAGTAGATATTTGCAACTCAGCAGAGTGATTCTATAACTGAAGAAAGAATATTATATACAAAAGATAGTAGTGTCTTTCATCAAAGATTTCACAGAGAACTAACAAGAATTCAGAGAATAAGAAAGTAAAGAAAACAGTAAGACAAATGAATGAATTTATCAACTACTATAGAGATAGCAGGCTGATAAGACCCTGCATTTATTAAGATATCTTCAGAGCTTTTCTGACTGTAGATGTTTGAATTCCCATATTAATCAGAGTATCTTCATAAACTTCAGCTGTTAGAGCTTTCATTAGAGTGTTCACAGTCATATCAGTGATGTTTATTTATATGATTTTGATAATACCTGCAGCTGCAGTATCACAAACATGATGATGTTTAATATTAATATAATATACATTGCAGGTGACCTTTTCACCATTTACTACAGTGATTGCTCTGTTATTATCAATGTATAGAGGAACTGTAAAATTGAGGAATAGAAATCCAAGCTTCACAAGTAGTCTGTGTAGCCAGATTATGGTTTTGAGATTCTCAGAGATAGATATGTACTCTGCTTCTGTGATACTCAGCATCACAATCATTTGCTTAATGAATTTCCACACAATTGATCTGTTAGTGAGGTGGATGAGAAGACCTGATGTAGATTTGCAGTTATCAGTGTCACCTACTCAATCAGAATCTATAAAGACTTCAAAGTTGAGCTTTTTCACTTCAGTGATGTAGTGAATATAGTGATCAGTTATGCTGTGAATGTAGTGAAAGAGCTGTTTGACTGCAGCTCAGCATGCTTGTATAGACTTACTTAATCAATGAACAAGTTTGACAGTTGTAAAAGATATATCAGAATAAGTGTATATGATAAAATATTGAAGTAATTCAATCACTTACTGATATTTGAACTCATCAAAAGATTCAGAGTCAGAGAGCAGATCAAAGACAGATTTCATGAGAGTTCTTACAGCTCAGAAATCAGTCATTTCAAATTCCTTTAACATTCATTTGATATAGATAACTTATGATAGCTTAATATCACTGTTATTCTTCTCAATCTTCATATTTAAGTAGTGATTTACAGATCTCAGATCTTTCACTGTGAATCAATCAGTAATTTGATGAAACATCTGTTCAATGACATCTGTATTGAGATCTATTAACTTGACATCATTCACATAGAGAATGAGAAATATCTGAGAGTCTCTTTTGAATCAGAGACTCTTATCATGATGAGAGGATTCAAAGCTGATATTCTTGAGATAACTTGTAAGTAGGTTGAACCACAGGTAGAGAGCCTGTTTAAGACTGTAGAGAGACTGTAGAAGTAGGCATATATAACTAGTACTATCATCAAATTTAGTCAGTTATCTTATATAGAGCTGCTTATTAGATGATAGACCTGCATTTAGAAATACTGTGATGAAATCAACTTAATGAACATTTCAACTTTTTACTGCTGCTACTGCAAGTATAGCATGAATAACAGAAGCAGAGATAACAGAGATATAGATATTATTGAAATTAACACTCTTTTATTAACAAAAACTCTGAACAACTCATCTTGTCTTGTAGAATAATATACTGTCATTTGTATCAGTTTTAACATAATAAACTCAGCAATTATCAAGAATCTGAGTTTTAGTAGTTAACTTATTCACAATCTTGAAAATTTTGTGCTCAGCTGTAGAGATAAGCTCTTTCTTTATAACAGCTGTTTAAGCATTCTTTTACAGAGATGTAATTATCTTCTTATATATTTATAGAACTTTAATTCCTGTAATAGTCTCAGAGTCTCAGTGTGCAGTACAGATCTTGAACATGTAATAGAGCTGAAATTCAATAACACTGAATGTCTTCAGAGTAATGAGGTTGAAAGTTGTATTATTTTTCTGAGATCTTTCACATCTTTTTGAGATTGCAGATGACTTCTCACTAACTTTCTTTCAGAGATGTTTAACTTTGCAGCCTGTAATTGTAGCAGCAGATGAGAGAGAGATATTCTTGACTGATATCTGTACAGAGAGAAACTCTTTCTGCAGAGATGTAGAGATTGATGTTAAATTAGCATGAAGATAATTATTACAGATAAGTATTTCTGTAGTTGATGTGTAAGATATATTAATTATGTTGTGATTATCAAGTGCTGAGCTCACTAGCTGTGATACTGTGACATTCTCATTGAATTTCATACTGCTGAATATGATGACTTCATTCTTCACAGAGTTTTATATTCTGTATATCATTTCACTGTAATATTCAATCAGAATTATTTATTCACTGTATTCAGTAAACTTGTTATAATCTTTTCAGAGATCTTCTTTGAGAATATAAACTGATAATTCAACAGCTTATAAGTCACTGCTGTGTGAGAATGATCTGTCTTCTCATACTTTATAGAGAATTAGTGAGATTCAGTCCTTCAGTTGAATTGTGTTTAAGAATAAGAGAATGCTCATTGAGGCTATATTAATATACAGTATCACTGTAAACACAGTCTCTGCTCATAGCTTGACTGATAGACCTGCTTGTATCATTATAATATAAGCTTTTAAGATAATAGTTTGAATGAACTGTTCTGCAACATTATTCTGATTGAGAATATAGAGTTCTATCAGCTCTCATTTAACATTGAATTCAGTGAGAACTGCTTGTATCTGTTGATCACTTATTTCAGTGACTTTATCAGAACATGTAAATGTAACTTTTATATTCAGATTTCAGAGATATTTAAGATGAAAGTTAATAATATTCAGCAGCTGACCTTTGTTCTTGAGAAAATAAGCAGTCTTATGACATGTGATATCATCTACTATAAGGAGTAGGTATCTGTAGTCTTGAAGAGATGAAGAAAACTTATCAAGAATGCTGAAGAATTCACTGTCTTCTACAATATTAAAGTGCAGACAGGCACTGCAGATGTTTTTCCTTATCATAGAAGTCTGTGAGATCTTCTTCTTGACTTTTGTGAGTTTGCAGGTCTCACAGAATGATATTTCAGAGCTCTCTTTGATTTTAATGTCAGAGATGAGGTCTTTCATCAGTTATTGAATATCAGTGATATTCAGATGTTCTAGATAAACATGTTATGTAAAGAGTGTATTGTTATAATTCAGAAGTACCTGTGCAACTGCAGCTAGAGCAGCTTCACAGATACTATAAATAGAATAGATATGATGATTTGTTTTCACAGTATAGAAGTGTTGATTGTATTCATCAATTATCTCAAAATCAATGATATGATTATTCTTATCTCAGAGAAGTTCAAAGTCAAATCCTTTATTAATAAGTTGACTGAAGCTTAAAAGATTGTAGAAGACTGCTGATGAGTAGTGAACATTCTGCAGATTCAATTTCATTTCATTTATATAAATACAAATCTCATCAATGTCAGTAAATGTAATTAACTCATCATTGATTTCTTCTACAGAGTCAAGTTCTTCTCTGTCATCTGAAGTGTGTATGTATTTGAAGACACTTCTATCAGATGTCATAGTGTAGAAAGCTGCAGTGTTTAAGTATCATAAAGAATCTCTATAAATTATAGTAATAGATAG